CCAGACAGAGAGACAGAAAGCGAGAAATCACCCCCCAGGGGGGATGGTCACACCACAATCCCTTCTCCTCCATTCTCCTCTCGGGATCTTGGGCACGCACGCACATGTGCCCGGTGTGAGTTTTAAGCCACCGGGTCCAGGATGCGAACTGCGGTCGACTATGTGGGAGTCCAGCGACATAGCCATTACGCTAACTGCTGGTTCCCTACCCGCCCTTCCTGCTCTTAATGCTCATGTCAAATCCAGAGGATCCTTCCTGCCTGTTCTCACTCGCCTCTATCCAATGCACTCAACCCAGAGAGAACAAGCTAAGGAGATGGTAGGGATCCTAGTGTGGGCTGAGCCCACATACTTGCAGGAGTTTAATCTATTACCTAATTCTTCATAAAATCCAGAAAAGGGGTATTATCCTCATTTGATTACTTATTTCAAATGTATCCATTTATTCCTTCCATGAGATAGACAGGCATTCCAGGGCTCCCATGCCATGTTCCACCCCATCTCAGCCAGCCTGGATCACGGGCATACATACATGCCCTGTGTGCTCAGAGAGGTCTCAGATTGTAATGTAGGAGCCCTTCCTGTGGGTACAGCTGTGCCACCACTGTGCCACCACCTGGCTCCTGTCATCCCAACGTTATGGACTGCAAAGAGAATGAGGCCCAGAGTGGTTAACATTCCTACCCAGGACTTAAATTTGTCTTCCAACCTACTTATTCAATATATATTTCAAGTACCTGCTATATCCTTGCTGGGTTTGGGGCCCTGGAAAAACAATGGACAGCTTTGTCTTCATGGAGATGACGATCTATCAAGGAGACAGACATGAAATGGTCACCCCAGTGCATGAAAAATTGCAGCAGTGAAAAACTCTCCTCCGGTAAGGACACTTGAGCGTATCAGGAAAGGCCTCTCCGAGGAAACAAAACAAACATTAGAACTGAGTGGTGTCCATGAGGACAAAGAGGATCCTAGATGGAGTGAGTACATGTGCACAGGCCTCTGGTGGGGTGACATGGTGAGGTCCAGCCTGCAAGAAGGCCCATGAGACTGAAGGGCAGGCGGAGGCAAGGTGCACGATGAGGCTGGGGTCCTCCAGGGGCCAGACCCTCAGGTCCCTGTAGGTCTCTTGAGAACTTCCCAGGACAGCAGACCTTTTGAAGTGTTTTACAGTTCTAGGAAAAAGCGGGAGCGACAAATCACATGAAGTTGCAAAACCACCTGCATTTGACACTTTTCTAACTTTTTGGAAGGGTGTGTGTGTGTGAGGCAGGAGCTGGTTTCCAGGAAGGTTTGCACAAGCATCTGAGTAAAAACAATGACTTTCATTCAAAATACATTTTTTTTTTTTGGAGAGGTTTTTGCTATTGGGCGAGTGCACTTGCCAGACAGAGACAGAGAGATAGAAAGTGAGAAATCACCCCCTAGGGGGCATGGCCACGCTGCAATCCCTTCTCCTCTCGGGATCTTGGGCATGCACGCACATGTGCCTGGAGTTAGTTTTAAGTCACCGGGTCTGGACTCGAACCGCGGTCGCCTACATGGGAGTCCAGCGACATAGCCATTACACTAACTGCTGGTCCCCAAAATACCTTTTTAAAGTTTACACTAGAAGTCTTCTAAACGCTCATGTTAAAGGCTTATTATGAAAAAACTATGCATGGGTTTCAAAAATGTTTTGTACCAAAATAAACTTGTACTTTAATTCCATTTTTCCATGAACTATCTTTAGTGCCCAGTACATTTTGCATCCATCCTTCCCATCCCGTTCCTGTGTCGGCCCCCTCAGCTCCCTAGCGCCTATATCCCACATGCCACCCGTCACTTTTCTACCGCAGCGTTTCGTGGTCCTCACAGCACAGCTCTGCAGGTAAAAGGACCTCATTTCCTCGGAAATCTGCCTCCCCGTTAGACGTAACTTCCACGACAGCAAAGCTCGCGCTAGCCTCGTTCAATCCCCGGCCCTCAGCGCCCAGTTCTGTGCCTGGCGCCCAGAAGGAGAAGCTTTCTTAGTATTTCAGGAGGTCTTCCGGCCCTCTGAAGTCCACGGAGTCCCCGGCCACCCTTCTCACTTCAGCGCGCCCAGCGTCAATCCCTTCCCGGCGAAAACCGAGGCGTTCTGCGCAGGCGCGCCTCTGGCCCCGCCCCCGGCGACGTCACGCGGCCGTTACGGCGCTCCGGCGTCTGGCGCGCGCGATTTAAAACCAGCTCCAGAAACGCTGAAGGCAGGATGAAGCCTCCCTGCCCAGGTGAGGCCGCCGTGGGGTGTGGGGAGGCGGGCGGGCGGGGCGCGCTCGGCCAATCAGGACGCAGCTGAGGCCCGGGCTGTGAGCGCTGGGGGCGGCCGCCCTGCGGGGTCGCGCGGCTGGCTGTGGGGCGGCTTCTCCCCTGGGCGCTGCACCGTGCTCGGTGCCTCTCCATTAATAGGGTGGTTTTCCTGGAATAGACGCAGTTTCAGGGCCGTGGCAGCGTCGTGGTTACCGCTGCGTGCGTAGT